CTTCCTGTTTTTTCCTTTTTTTTTTTTTTTTTTTTTTTATATAAGAATTCTGGGCTTGGTTGACAGTAACAGATGACACCCACGAGAATTCTACGCTCAAATAGTGCAATGAAAATGTTTTAAAGGACTTAGCGTTCATTCATCGACGTTCTTCGCTAGATCGTGAATGAAATTAGCCCCGCGTTAGTGAAGTTAGATCCAATTAGCTGGCACAATGAGCGCAACACGGAAGTGATTCCGGTCACCGGATCTTCCCGTTCTCGCCGATAGGATTTTAACACGTGATTTCGAGAAACGACATTGCGGCATCGCGTTCAGTCAATGTTGGAACGAAGTCGATTAATTAAGGAATAAAGTTTTATTGATCAATTTCCGTGTATTTTAAACGATTTTGAAAAACTGATGAGATGAAATGAGCGACGATGGATTCTCTCGAGTTGTGTAAAGTATGTATAAAAATTGAACTAACTTGTCGATATTTAATAAATCATTAAGGGACAATTGCATCTTGCGGATCTTCTTAAGGGGGAAAAATGGATAAGATAAAATTAGCCTTGAAATTTTCAATACGCGCGCTATTGTTTAGGCAATTTGTACAAATTAATCGTGCCACTCGTTATTAGGTACTTAATAGAACAAGTTCGAGCTAGCTGGATTAGGAACAAGTATATTTCAACGAAAAAACGAAAACAAAAAATGGAAAAAAAGAGAAAAAAAGAGCGGAAAGACGTAGCCAAAAGAAGAAGAAAAGAGCAAGAAAGTACGTGAAGAAATACGAGACGGAAGTCGACTGATTTAAAGACACGAACACCGTGAAGGCTTGCCAGGAAAGTTCTCGAATGTACTTTCTCGAAACGGAAGACGAAGAAACGGGAAAACGAACAAAGCGTCGAGGCAGCACCGTGGAATAGCTTTTAGATTTTATTTCGTGATTAATTACTTCTTGTGCATAGAATCGTTCGATCGACACGATAAAACTATCGAAATGTAGCGCCGGATTTCAAACAAGTATAAAACGAGGACGATTGTCGAGCAATCGATAAAGGAAAGGTAGAAACGATACCTTTATTTCTCTCTTTTCTTTCCTCTGAATGATCGACAAGACGATTGTTCGACGATGTGGAGGTGAAAAGAAAAAGAGGAGTCACGTTCTCCATCAGTCCTCGTTCTTTCACTTTTTTCTCTCTTGCCCCTTTTTCTCTCTTTCTCTCTTACTCTTCCTCTCGGTCTCTCCCTTTCTCTCTTTCAATTCTTCTCAACGTATTACAATTTGTCGAACGCTGTAGCATTATTCCGTCATTAGGCTCGATTAGACGATATTTTTTATGCGTGTTATGGACCGCCATTACGTCGATTCGATTTGTAAAAGAATGGTATTTATATTAGCAATAAACGATTCAAATGGTCACTAACCAACTACTGCTTTTTATTCTACTTTGTACTACCATACATTCTAGTACTACCATATTACGCTTAAATATATTTGATAATAAGGAATAATTGCATGATCAGCAATGCACCTACGATCTTCGACTCCATTTCGCGTACGAATTTAAAGTTAAAAGGGAAAATAGTTTATAAAAAAAGAGAGAGAGGAGCTTTCTCGAGAATAAGATTCCTGCGTCGTTGCGTTTATTTTCTGCGGTACATTCCATGCATTGCGACGCGCGCGTTACGAGTGTCCGGTTACTGGTTTTTGCGGCGATACACCGAAGTGAATGAGGTAAATGAAGTAAATGGATGAACGGTGAATAATGGATGAACCAACGCTAGTTGTCACCGACGTACAAACGAGCGCTATTCGTTTCTTGCAGTGCTTTCAGCTTAAATCCAAGTGTACAGGAACATCGTCAAGTGCCATTTAAATTCAGTTTTATCATCGATCGAGCATCTATGCAATATACCACCGATTCACACACACTGATATCACGTATCTCGATTATTAATGTTGGCAATAAATCTGTTACATTTTGCAGCTATAACGAGACACTTTTATGTGGATTGTTATTAACAGCAGCAATGATACTAAAATAGATTCTAGACTTGACACTAAGATCTAAAACCAGAAGTATTAATTCACAATGATTGATACCAGACTACTTGCTATTAGAAAAATTAACATTGACTTTTGTTCAAGTGGAGAAGTTATACATACCTATTTATTTTTCTCCATTCAAGAATAAAGTTAATAAGAATGTTCAAAGTATTCCATAGTAGTCAGCTCTAGAAAGTTTCGCAAGATATAAATCTTGGAAAACGTTATCGATTAGCCAGGTCGCACCACGTGGAGGTAGCCAAGTAAAGTGACCCACCCTAGACCCCTAATTCTGTCCTCCCTCCATTGCATGCATACTTCGCCCAGCCTGCAGAAGAAATTTAAAATTTAATAAATGAAAGTAAGGCAGCTATTTGATTCGAAACTAGATTAGCAATTATCCACAACAAAACTACATTTATCATACTAAGTAATTGAAAACTAGGAAAGTAACGAAATCAAAGAAACGATGTTAAAATAAAATAAAAAGACTGAATTAATATGGAAAAACGTGATCCTGACGCAAGCAAAATAAAAGGGTGTTACCCCTCGATTTAAGGAGAACATAGAGTCCTCGTCATATTCACAACCCCTCGAGGTGCTGTAACATCTGCACATGCTTCCTAGAAGAACTCTCCATCAATGTGAATCCAAAAGTGGCAATTTATGCAACTCAACAAGGACGCATTGAGCCTAGAATAACAAAATTTGATAATTAAAATTGAAACAAAAATTATACATTCATCAAAATTTAGTATTAAGATGCATAGTGTTTCTACTCCAAGGATTATGAGCATAAAAATGTATATATAAAAGTCTTTGAATCACTGTGACTTTAATATACTTGAAAAGTAGTTAGGATATCCAATTTTACAATATTTTGGCTTATTTCAAAAAAAAGAATTTTCATATTGAAGTTGAGAAATTATTGAAGAAAATTCACATTTTTGTCTATTAATTGAACTTCATAAAATGTTTTATTCTATCGTAATTTTATAAAACTGAGGAACAAAAGATGTAGATGTTGAAAGATAATCCACGGATACCACTGACCTAACGCTGACAGTAGAAGATGTCGAGAGAAAGTCAGACACGTGAGTGTTTTAAATATTCCTCTGCGGCCCGACAGATCGTGGCAGAGAAAGAGAAGCAGGGGATTATCGTGGATCATTACACGGTAACGAATCGAAATTACAGATACATCGAGGCTGCAGAGTGTAAATTGCGATACGTTTTCTGCCGTTCTGCCGCTTTCTACGCTTATTTACGTGCGTCGAGAAAATAACACGCGATGCAAGGAAACCCATAATTCATTTGGAAGAGTTACCTCTGAATTATCAGTTGCGCCCACCATCATTGGCCCCCTTAACTCATACTCCCTAATCGAAGGTTAATAATAAAACAAAACTACCCCCTTTGATAATGATTTAGGGAACTAGTTGAACCTTTCTGTTAACTCTACTTTACTTTAATTAAACTCCTGCCTCCACTGTAATTTTTTCTTTAAATATTTTTTACTCTGAACTTTTATTCTTTAAACTTCATTTAAGTTTTATCATAATTGAATAAAATTCAATTAATAATACCTTAAGTGAAGTAATTTAATTGTTTGAAACTCTTTTATTTAACATTCTTATAACCAAACAAGATATTTATTTATTTACCTAGTTTTCGAGTAACACCATTATCATTATGAACATTTCATCATCATTTCATTCCTTAGAGAAACTCGTCGAAGGGTCTGGCGTCGTATCAACTCGAGGGACCACACCGTCGCTTCATAATCGTCAATTCGCACGTAGTTACGCGAAAAGACGTGGAATTCTTTGGAAACGAGATTCCAACACGATCGGAGATACCGTGGCAGAGGACACGACAGCGGTACGGCTGAAACCCGAGGGCGGTGATCATCGACGCGAACAAGCAGCTGCTGGCTGTAATCGCGTCATCATCTGCGTGATTGCTTTCGATGCCGATCATTCCCGCTTCTTCGAGACAGAGGGTCAACGCAGCGTTTCGATTTCCGATCTTACCACTGCCTACGTACCGATCGAATTACGCTTCAACGACTTGGTCACTGCACGATTATTACGTTCCTATCTTCACGCCCTCTCATTCAGTCGGCCATCAAACGAATAAAAGCCTCCATGAGCTGCGAATTATTGTCACACCTGGTAGACTTAAACGGACATTTTCAACATCATTCCCAGAGTATAAATGTTTCCGCTCCTTTCATTATTTTTCCTTTATTTCCTCCATTTGTTCCCCATCGCGTGATTTAATTATCAGAGAATTTGATCTCGAGATCAAGAATTTCTTAATATATACCATAATTAAGATGGTATATAATTGTATTCCTATCTTAGTAAAAAATCACTATTAATTTTAAGCATACTACTAGTAATTACAATAACAGAAAATTGAAACTTACCATTTTATCGTGTTTGATAGTTCTAGTATTCATTTTCTTGATAGCTCATTTACTCGAATTTTTCTGTTCTTTTCCTATCAGAAACAGTATCGACGAAGTTAGTCGCATTTGTATAAGATATTCGTGACTTTTTAAAGGTTCCTTTGCAAGGAACTAGAAGTTACCCAGTGGAACTAATCGCAGCAGCTGGAGAATGCAGTGAAAATTGCTTCTTTGATGCAAGAAACTAAGGGATCATTTAGACACGTCTAGCTTCCGGTGCCCTTTGTTTGACGGCGAAGGCATTAATAGATTTTTAGTTAAAAAAATCATCGATCCTTTTCCTAAAACGGTAAAACAAGGCCATAAGTATCCCCCATTAAGTTGAAGGGCCTGTTGGAAGAATCACTTTCAGGTCGACGAGTTTCATGGAGTTATCGATACCAGGATCACTGTTTGAAGATCCTTTAATCTGTAGGTTATTAATGAAGTGAAAAATCGTCAACAAAAAACGGATATACCTATATAATTAAGACGCCCGCATACGATATACAGTTTGCGAATTCTCCGAAGGTCGAATGATCGTAATTGCTTCGAGCAAAAGAAAGAAATTCTATGAATACTTATGGGAACTTGAGAGGGTAATTGTGAATAGCTTCATCTCGTGCAGCTGACTTTATACCTCGTTCTGAAAATATACCAAAAAGCATAAGAATTTCCACATATTTTTCGAGGAAAGATAAAGTCGAATGCTATTAAAAGTGATTTCTTTCGTATTGACTTCTTTAGTCATTCAATATTCCTAAGACTTCTGTGATAGAAAATTTGCATTTTCTTAAAATCGTAGTATTTAGGTAATATTCAAGCGAGAAATATGTAAAAAAATGACGAAAAGTGTAAAATCACATATTCCCCAAAGCGAAGAAGAAATGAATACGAATTACGATTCAATGAACGAAGCAAACGCGACAGAACTCCGCGAATACGAAATTCTGAAAGCTATCGTCACACAAAGCACCAAATTATCCACGGTTGTTCGTTTCCTCGCGGAGACGAGTTACTCAACGAGAGCTACACAGAAAACATCAGACCGATCATCGTGCGAAGAGACCGCGGCTGCAACGGTCGCGGTAACGATGTTTAATTTTCCAATCGATCAGCCAAGGGAAAAGCCGGGGAGAAAAGAAGCGATACGACGGGCAGGATCGACGAACCGGACCCGATCAATTTTATGTCCCCCGGATCGACCGATTGTCCGACGTTAGCAGGAGAAAGAGAGAAAGAGAAGAGCAAAGAGGAGAGGATCGAGACCTTGCGATGCACCTGCTCTCAGGTGTACGTCCGCACCTTCCATCCGCGCGTGCAATGCATCTTTTCACCATCTCGTTTCATCGTTCGATCTTAACTCTAGTTCCCTCCTTCTCTTTCTCTGCCCCCGTGCTTTCTTCTCCAGCTCGCCTGGCCCAATCTTACTTCGAACATTGCGAGTGAATGTGCGAGCCGATCGACGATGTTAATCCTTAGTTAAGGATTCCATGGTCGAGCGTTGATAGCGGCGTCGTTCAGGGCCGGCGATCGGTCGAGGCTCGATGGCTCTGTCAGCCATTGGTGGTTCGTGCCTTCGTTCCCTCCTTGGAGAAATTTCCAGTAATTAAAGTGTCGATAAATTTATCGATGAGGTTATTTTCGGAGTCTTACCAACACGAATCCAGTGGTCAGGTGCTCTGCATCTCTGATATTCTTGCGTAGGCGTCGATGCTTCTGGTCGTCGAGGGTTTGTTTGTTTTGATGTCTGGACGACGAACTTGATTCTTACAATATTCGGAGGTTCTTTCTTTTTCTTCAGAGATACTTTTGGAAACTTTTTGACCATTCACAGTTGAGTTGAGGTTTGTTAAGTGTATGGTCAGAGGTGAGAGAAAGATATGTGCCAAACTTGGCGAGGAATAGAAAGCACGTACGAGACAATGTAACGATCTTGTAAATTAAAAGCGTGACGAATAGAAACCGGTTCATTAATATGTATGACTGTAACTGCTGCTTTTAATAACTCTAATGATAATAAAACGTGAGCCGAGAAATGGTGAAACGGTTCCTTCCTCGCGAAAACGGTACGATTCTCACGGACCTTGTGCCACCGCATTTGCGGGTTCTTATGTATCGTGATCTAGATGTAATATGATGTGCCATTTCACTAGATACGAAAACTGGTCCTACATATGTAATTGGAAAGTTTTTCATTTCCTTTCTCTTTGTTTCTCTTACATTGAAATAATGTGTAGTATTTCTATTTTGAGTTGTGATTTAGATGTAATAGCTTTTCTGATTTCTTTAAATAATTTTTCTTTGAAGTGATTTAACGAAAAATATTTTGATTTTTATAAGATTACTAATACTTCATTGTTTATCTCATCTATTCAAAGTTAGTTGAAGCTATTCACATTTTATCTCTAGGTAACTAAAGTATTCCAGTTAATTCAAATGGATAAAATAAAATCTTTCAAAGCAGGATGTCGAATTAATCAATCAATGGCTTACCAAGTAGCCAAGAGTACTCGAATATCAATTACTCGAGTACAGGAATCATAAGATGATCGATCAATCGTTTCACGAGGCAAGTATAATTAGTCATACACCGTGCATCGACATTCTTTCAAATTTTTCAGACAGTCTGATTGGTTAATTAACCAACGGAGGTGCAATCGATTTACAATCTCTTTGAGGACACATTGCAACGACGACTAACAGGTGTTCAATTTGGTTGCGAATAATTTTCTTGGTTTCTTGGAGGTTACCAGCTAAATATCGCTGAATTTCTGTTCTTCCAGCTATACCATAGTGGTTCGTCTCCCAGATAGGTTCTGGTGAAGATTAATTTCGACGTTGCTTCTCGATCAACGTCCATGCCTCACGCAGCGACTTTTTTTGACGTTAATTGACCGTCCATTAAGTTTTCGTTCGGCTGTCCATTGAATGGACAGCGAGTTACAAGTTCAACACGTTTCTGAACGACGTTTTTATTGCCTAGTGGTAACGATCTGTCGATCGTGATCATGTTCGATGATACCATGCAATATAACAAATCTATGTTACTACTTCAGTTTTCATAATTCGTTTCTGTGGCACAGGTATCCGTGTCGACGCTTATGAAATGGTGACCATCGATCATCTAGATGGAACACGCTTCTCGAAAGTTCGAATGTTTTCTCTGAGTCTTTTCTTTGTTGAAATTTCAAATTTGATTTGATATGCAGAGATTCGTTTTATAAAATTTCGTCGGAATTTCAGTATCTCTATTCTTTTCGTCGTAGCAGCCTTGGATCTGAAAGCATTTTTGATAGATAAGAAAGAATTTTGTATGCAAGGGTACATGGACATTAACATGTAAGTGCTTTATACTAAAGCTATTGAACTACAGTGTGTACCTAATTATGGCATGATATAGTAGATATGTAAATAAAAATATTATAAAATTATGAGTGAATATACGTACACTTTTAGTAAACGAGGTAGTTTCAGGTACTAGGCATATACTTAAGGACGTATATTCTTCGTAGCGAGAGGGTTGAGGCAATCAGAGCGAGAGATTTACGGGCTAGATGAGTACACTGCTTAAAAAAGGTGCATTTCCGTGAACGGACAGGAAGTTATCCTCCGGAATCAACAGGTGAATCGTCTCGTAACAGGAATATCCCCCGGTCGCCGTATCCAACTGAAATTCAGCCAATTACAGAGATAACGATCGTTGTTGCATGATTAAATTTCAACCCACGGAATGTTGGCACATTTTATTCTCCGTTTGATCAGTGGTAAAAGATAATAGAGGAATATATTGCGATATAATTCCTAAAAATGAAGATTCATTATTTGAACTACTTTTGTAGTACCAAGTCAATTAAAATGATTTGTTTCAGACTTTTCACTTTGGCAATTACCGAAAACATGCAGCTGCTTTTGGCAAAATTAATTTTGCTTGGATAAATACGTATTTATTTATTGTTGTACCAATTCAATTATTATCATCATCTGCATAGATAATAGCGTATTTAGACAAACTTTACAGGTGGGTAGTTCTAGTATTGAAGATATAAAACAGAAAAATTATCGATCACGTGATAACGTGCAGAACGATTATTATTTGATGATATTAATTCTTAATTGACGCCCAACACCTTTTAATCGATACGTGCCAGCTCGATCACTGTCCTTTTCACTTAATTATACGAATATATTATAACATTTTATAATACATGGGAACACTGTGACGGAGTCGTTAAAAAATTAATTAAGAAGAAGCTGCAACCAGTCTGATAATAAAAATCTCCCACCCAACGACTT